TAGCAAAATTCTTGAATTCTGCTTGCGATGAATTCTGCCACTGCTGGATAGTATCACCTAATATAATAAATAGTTCCGATATAAACGTAAATACTTCTAATTTTAATGATAGTTGAATAAGTTGACTGAATATAGATGATAAAAGTGCAATAATTCGATGAAAACTAACGTTATTTGTACAATTTACATGTAGACGAGATAAATACAATAGAAGATGACAATCGATAGGGGTAGGTAATCTAGAACCATTCATATTAATTATAATATTGCAGATAAAAAGAATGTTACTTACGAATTTGTGTCAAAACTCTCATTCTGATTCATCAAGGGATCATCGACGCAAAAAGAAAGGTTTTCAATAAATGGTATACACGTTAATAAACGCTCGATAAAGCATGATGTATGCGTATCAATAGTCAATTTACGAAGATGAATTGTATTTGAAACGTTCGGTAAAATCATTTGTAATTTTAATGAATATTTTCCTAAGTGATTAACAATTTCATATTTATGATCAAATGGAAGTCGACAAATTTTCAGCAAGGGTAATTGTGAACATACCTTTTATAAAAATACAAAAAATTAAATTTTCTATTATATAAAAAGATATTTTGTTTGATCACAGAAATGGCTGCATTTCATGATGAATTGAAAAATTTTTGTTTACTTACCTTAGTTAGATAAACTCCTTCAACTGTAAGATCGTGGAACGGATATGATAGTGTCACATCCATTAACAAAGTATGTATTTGTTTTATCAAATGATTATATAATAATTTATCAAGTTCATGTGGTTTAATATCGATTAAATGAAGACGTTGAAGTAATGTTGTTTGATGGAATTGAAGAGACGATGAAATGAGTGATCATCCAACAACAATGTGGCTTAATCTTATACGCAATGAGACAATACGTCGTCCAATTAATTTCAAAACATTTTGAAAAAGGTTATTGAACATTAATAATGACATTATATTATCACCAATATGAATGTTCCACAAATATTCATCCGTAATAATTCTTGCAAAACGTTTATTTAATAATAAAAATGATTGAAAACTTTCAACAGGAGACAAATATTCAAAAATTTCAACAATAATATCGGCCGGTATAAATTCAAACTTACTAACGCTCATTTCTGTTGTTGTTTCTTGTCTATCCTTATTGAATTATATATACTGACATACACAATGATATACGTCGGTCTATATCGTTGAATGAACATTGCTTTTCGAATTTCTTGCTTTCATTCTAAATGACTGGGTTTGAACAAAAATATACAAAGAAAAGCATTGGCATTAATATTTATTCAACACATGTTAATACAATTTATCTTTGTTTTATCTATAGATATATTATTCAAAATTTAATTCATCTTCCGATATGTAAGCCATGAAAACTTCAATAAATAGATCATTTTTTTGATAAAATAGAAATAATGGGTTTCATTCATTTTACAATCTCATATTCAATGTTCTATGAAAAATACAGCCAACATAATCCCAATACTCAGACAGACACACAATCAATAAAAAAACCACTAAAAACATGCAAATTTATCGTACAATTGTCGTTAAGTAGTTTTTACGCTTTCATAGCGCTTCAGAATGTGTACTTTTCACGATTTAGAAGTTGTTTAACAGCTTCAATGCTTCTTTTTTTTACAATTATGAGCTTTTCAGTCAAGTGAATTAGTTGAGGGAAGAAGAGACGAATTCGATAGTGCAAACTTTTTTTGAGATGTTGTCATGATGATCTCATAACGACTCCAACGTTGTTCTCATCCCTTAACATTATTATGTCGAAAAAACTTATAATATAGTTTGAAACAGATTAAGTGTTGGTGCCCTGTAAAGTGCAAAGAAAATAGAGTGAAAGTCACACCAGCACCCCACACTGACACTGCACATTTATACTCTCAGGTTCATTCCGTTTTATACTGATTATAGCACAAATCAATTTACAATAAGATGACAAGAATCGAACCTAACCATCAGCCAAAAACAAAACTAGCTGTTAATGCGAG